ATAGGGAAACCTATACGAGGTTTGTAACATTTCCCTTTCCCTATTTCCTTCAAGCCAAATACAGCCTTAAATCTTTATTTTTTTGGTGAGGCATCGGGTTTCCCATCTGAAGATGGTCTTGATCGGTGTCAACATGCTTTCGGTGACCAAAAGAAACCAACAGCTTCCTCTACCAGGTTCCATCCCTATTTTTTTCATGGCTTACCCCTCGTGTAGGCAAATCATGTTTATGTTTGGATGACTTGACCTCGGTTCAGTCTCTATTCAAGTTTAACTCCGTTCTAATCAAAGGCCTCGATGAAACCCCACCAGGCACGACATTGTGGCATTTGTGTAATGTATATGCCATATACCTACCACCGAAACAAATTAGGGTATTATGTTTCAGACCGGTTTTATTTAGGAGTTTGATGAACCTGAAGTTGATGTCTAAAAAATCAAAAATCTATTATTTCATTTAATGGGYCAGTATGAGGGTTTGTTCGTTTCCTCTTAATTCTTATCACTTACGAGGAATTTTGTAATTTTAAGAGGAAAATGGGTGTTCGTTGCCTCTTATCTCTTAAAGTGGAATTTTGCAACATTTTTGTTTTTTATTGATTTCCTCAAAAAGCAAATAGAAGTTCTCAATCATGTGTTAAAATGGATATTTGACAATGCTAATAACATTCCTTGCATTCAGAGTTTAGAGGAAAGAAAGGTTCACCAAGATCAATTTATCTCTTAATGTAATTATGGCACTTTTAGATGTTAGAGCAAACAAACAAATCCTAAATGATTTTCTGCTTTTAAAAGGCAAGGTTATTTGAGTTGGAGCAATTCATCTTAAACTGTGAAATTTACATCTTTAGCTCTATAAATTGAATGTTCAATAATATTTTAAATTATAAAAAGAATATTAAAAATATCCAATAAAATAAGTTTTTATTAATTAATAAATATTATGATTTATTAAAATATATAATTATTAACAATATTTATTTATTATTGTCAACTAATGATAAATAAAAATATTTTAATTATTATTAATAAACAAATTATTAATTATTCTTATTATTATATAAAGTGTTATTTATTTAAATTAAAATGATAAAGTGTATTATTTAGTAATAATAATATTCTTATTACTATTACTGTTAAATAAATTTAATTATTAATATTTTTATTTATTTATTAATTAATAATAAATTTTCTGAAACAATATTGATTTATTATTGTCATTATTAAATCATAATAAATATATTACTATTATTATTATTATTATTATTATTATTATTATTATTATTAAATTGATGATAATAATAGGGACATTAATGTCATTTTATCATGTCTGAAATGTGTTTGATTCAAGTCTGACCATTTTAGATATGAATTTATATTTCAAATCCTCTAATCAGATCTAAATCCAAATGCCGATGGGTCTGTAAAGCAAAATTTTCAGACCTCAAATGTCTTGTCATATGGGACTCTTTTTTAGAAGACAGGTAATATTGGGTTTTGGGAGCACTTCCTTTGGACTCTTAATGATAAAACATGTGGTCTAAAAAAGCAGACTGTTTGGATGTTTGAATTTAAATTYATTATTGATGTGCCTTTCCTTTTGGGTTATTGAGGGGTTGCAAGAAGTTGGAACAGGTGTAGACTCGGATTTTGGGTAATTCACCGCCCAAGGCTTTCTCTCTCACTCTCTCTCTAATGAAGTAACCTGTAATTCATGATGAAAACATGGAGAAATAGGGCCATAACCATCATGCTGATGGCATGAAATTCTGTTTTGATAGACAAGGGCGTGGAATTCTTAGATTTAAATATGGGCTGATATGATTTGTAAAAGCTTTATATATAGCTAGCCACTTGTACGAGGATTAATTAGAAAGAAAATGCATCCTCTTGGACCGAACATGAAAGTGCTTTGTTTATGAAAATAATGTTTCATTGGGTTTCATTTTATGTTGACTAGTGTAACAACATGTACAAGATGTGCGAATAGTAACCATATATGACATATGGTATTGGATTTAGTTTTTGTGACATGCACAAAATTTAAGACAAGTATTTATTTTATATATTCATTTAAAAGCAAGAAAAATTGAAGAATTATTTTTCTCAAAAACAGGAATTCATAGATATGGATTGGAGAAAGTTTTTACAGACCTAGTAAAGGAAGACTAATACAATAAATAAGACAAACATCTGGCCGGCCACTGTAGTCCTAAGTCCTAACTTACTTTTATATGATTACTAGCTATCCCCCATAGAGTTTACATCCGATCAACACTACTTAACAATGATAACAAACTTTTGTATCGGATTGAGCTTATTTAATTAACTTAAACCGCAGACTTATCAAAGTTGGTCTAAATTCTAATTGCATGCATCAATCCATTTCCAAAACTCAAATCAGGAGTCCGGGCCAGTTTGCTTCCCTTGATTTTTGTCCACCTGAATTACCCAACAAATTTTAAAACATTATATATATATATAACACAAGAAACTTAAATTAATCTCAAAGAAAATTTAAGTACAAGTAGGGGGAGATAAACTGCCTTAACTCCCCAATAAGATCTGAGGCCACTAATTAAAAAACAAAATAAACAGTAATTAAAATAGYCCAGAACAACATTCACACCTTACTTGGCAAACAATTTACTTTTTTTCTTTTCGTTGTTGTAGCTCCACATTCCAGTTTTATCTTCCTTTAACCAGTTTACCACCACCTCCGTATCAATGTTCATTTTCTTTTGCTCTTTGGATTTTGTTACAGATCTAACCTATACTTATTTCAGTCCTAGAACAGTAGAGAAGTAAAACAAAGTAGAAGAGGGAAGAGAGAAAGAACAAAAGGAGAGAGAGAAGAAAATCTGATTTGAACTAGAGAGAAAGTCTTACTCTCTAGTTGGCCAGGTATTATTTAAAGGTTTTTAATTTAAGTTACAAAGACACTTATGCCCCTAACTAAGCATTGTGACATAACACTTAAATCAAACCGTAAAGGACATTACAACATGCTATTAGTATAGGGGAAAGTGATCAAACTATCCCTTACTAGTCGACTTTAACACTCCCCCTTAAGATAGTGAGCTATCAACGAACCACTACATAAGGTTAAAGGTGATAGAGAAATTAAGAGACTTGATCAGTTTACTAACAAACATAAGATTAACGGAATTTGTGAGCATAGAAAACTGAAAACAAGGATAATGAATCTTTTTAGCCCTAAGAAAGACCTCTATAGACTTAAACCAAGGCACATAATTCTCACTATTCAATTTAATGGAAGTCATCTACACATTTAAGTAATTAGGGGGAATCATAACACTAGACTTCTATTTACTCTATTTAATATTGTCTCCCATAACTATCATAATAAAAATAAACTTCCCACTCACTAGGATATCACACCACTTCATGTGCTACCCACCACACTGCACCACTAATGACTGATTATTGTTATAAACATCTACTATCATAGTTTCAGCAATAACAATCACTGTTTCAATAGCACAAAACCACCTAGATACACCCCACACACATACCACTAGGTCTACAACTAAACAATACTTGTTTCACATTGTAACACCCATGAAACCCACCTATTTAAACCACACAAATCAGCCCTGTACCAATTTGTCCACTACACCACTTGAAACGACCGTCTTCGGTCCATCGATTAAAGGGTTTCTACCAACCACATGAAACACTCACTACACCACCAACTTGAGGCATCAAAACCTCCAAAAGAAGAAAACAATCACTCCTTTTTAGCCCTTTTGTGAAACTCCAAGTGATTAGTGAGTTCTTTAAGAAAACTAGGGTAGAAGGTGATCTAAAATTATGGGTTAACTTCTGATTCAATCACAACCGCTTTGATACCATTTTCCAAATATAATTTTATTTGATTTYAGTCCTAGAACAATAGAGAAGTTTAACAAAGAAGAAGAAAGAAGAGAAGGAGAGATAAAGAAGAAAATTTGGTTCGAACTATAGAGAAAGGCTTACTCTCTAGTCGGTTAGGTATTATTTAAAGGTTTCTAATTTAAGTTACAAAGACTCTTATGCCCCTAACTAAGTATGGGACATGACACTTAAATCAAAACATAAAGGGCATTACACCATACTACAAATATAGGACAAAATGACCAAACTACCCCTTAATAGCCGACTTTAACAGATTCCTTCCAAGACCGTAAAGATCTCAACCCTGAGTGAGTTTTGTTCTCCAATTGGGCTAGAGAACAATGCTAAGATATTCCCCCTTCTCATTCCTGAAAACTCCCCAATACTAGAAAGTCTTGGATTCCCAAAGCTAATACCATCAAAATTCAGTTTTATGAAGGCAAAGGGGGTGGGATCCAAGAAGTGCTTGCAACTCTCTTAACCTAGGCAGAACTTGCTATCTCTTTCCAAAATAAGGACCAAACTACAACAACCCTAATACACCTCCACATACTCCTTCCTCTTTTCATTGGCCAGCTGAATTTAGAGGAGGAAAACAATCTTTACACATTCAACGAGGGATTCCAACTACACCCAAAATGGAAAAAACCCATTCCCAAATAGTTTTAGCAAAGAGTCAAGATACTAATAAGTGGCATCCAGTTTCCCCATTAGCTTTTGTAGAGAATACACCTATGCAGAGATAAACAAGTCCTGGATCTCTTACTTTGAGGTAAATCATTAATGTTGATTCTTTTTAGGATAACTTCTCAACCAAAAATCCCAACCCAAGTTGGAATGAGCTTGCACCAAACCTCTTTATCAGGGAAAGACAATCCAAGGGAAATAATTGGCTGAGTTAAGGTCTTAAGAAATGAAGCACAAGAGGAGGAGCCTATGGGGAAAGGGGTCCAAATTCTGCTATCCTCTTTTGTAGGGTCCAAGAAACCATTTCCAAGAATAGCCAGGTGAGTTAAGGTGCTCCCCAACTCCGTATTCCTGACAACCCTTCTTAGCCCCAAATTCCACCCAAAATCAGAAACCAAGTATATAGGAACACGAAATGATGATATAGGCTCATTTTTCAAGTCAAAGAGGGCATACAAAGAAGGAAATTGGTTCTTCAAGGGAGAGTCTCCAACCCATGTTTATTCCTAGAATTTTATAAGGCTGTGTTTGGTTTGAAGGAAAGAATAGGAAAAGGAAGGGAAAGGTAGGGAAACCTTTACAAACCTTGTATAGGTTTTCCTACTTTTTCCTTCAAACCAAACATAGCCTAAGGTTACGTAAATTCAAATCATACCTGATCCAGGGGGAGAAAGTTGGTAGTGGGTCATGGATTGCTTTTCATTGTAAAACACTTGTAGTCATTGCTAGAATTTTAGGATCCCAACCATTGTCCTCAAGCCCATGAATGCTAGCAACTATTTTATCTCACAACTTTTCCTTTTCTAGAGGAAGCCTCCAAAGCCACTTCCCCAATAATGCCATATTTATTTTCCTAATGTTTCCAATCCCAAGGCCTTTTAGTAGGGGTGGATTTGAGTTGAGCTGAGCTGAGTAGTACGAGGCTTGAGCTCGAGCTCGAGCTCGGCTCGAGTAAAAAACTCATAAACTCGAGCTCAATTTCAGAAAAAATGTTTTATAAAAATAAAATTATATATAAAAAATATTTTTATTTGATATTTAAAAAATTAAGAATTATATTATTTTTATTATATATATTATTTTCTATAATTTTATTATATATTCAAGCTCGGCTCACGAGCCTCACGAGCTGAGCTCTATTAGGCTCGAGCTTGGCTTGTTTATTAATCAAGCCTATAAATTGGTTTCGAGCTCGATTGAAACCGAGCCGAGCCGAGCTTTTCATGAGTCGAGCTCGAGCAAATCATGAATAGCTCGGCTCATGGCCACCCCTACCTCTTAGCTTCTTACTTCTAGTCACTACTTCCCAACCCACCCTATGGCCCCTCTTTTCCTCTCCTAGCTCTCACAAAAAGTCCCTCATTATTTTTTCCAATTTACTAGATACCTTTGTAGGGATCTTGAACACTAATAAAAAATAGATGATAAATTAGTTAGGGTAGTTTTGATCAGTGTAGCCCTTTCCTTAAAAAGATAATTTTTCTTCCAAGAAACAAGTCTTTTTTCAAATCTTTTCACCACCGGATTCCAAAAACTTCATTTCTTGAGATTATCTCCTAGGGATAGGCCTAAATAATTTAGAAGCCGATCCAAAATTGCAGATCCTAAGATATCTGCACACTCCCTAATCTCCCTCCCCTCCATGTTCACTCTCACTATACAACTTTGTATTCTTTCCACGTAATTGGAGAGTCCAAATCCTCCTTGTTCTTCACAATTGCCTCATGCTCCTTCTGAAATCACACCCATATTAATCAAAATATAAGTTAAACATGAAGGGCCAAAAATAAAAAATGTAAACAAGAAAAAGAGATCTGCTATGGGGCCAAGAACCTCTAATTCCTGCACCACCGAAGGATGGTAAGTGACCAATACAATGGCTAAAGATAAGGCTGTGGAGATCGACTCAAAGGCAACAAGAAATGCAAACATTAAGAAAACAACATAATTTTTTGTCAAGAATGTCTCGTTTGGCATGTCCTCGATGATAATATCGAGTAAATCCTTATGTTCTCTTTCAGGAGAAGCTCTTCTCTGTTGTATTGTGTCCATTATCATTTTTCTGTCTTCTTCTGATTCTGGGCCATTGAATTGATTCAAGTCAATTAAAGGTCACAGAGTTATGGTGTGTCTGTGTTGCTTCATGGGTCTAAAAGAAAAAGAATAATATATTTGTGGAGAGAATTCGGTACAGTTGAAACAGTGTGTTTCACTTCAACAGAAGCTTGGGTGGAGCAAACTCTTAGACATTGATGAACCATCTCTTACACTTCAGGGAGCAGCTTGTCTTGTAGGGTCCCAATACCAACGAGTTTCAGGAAATAGTTTCGGATATAGTTGTTGATGTAGCGTGATCTGATTACTCCCTGTTGGAGGATGATCTGACTTCCAGTCGGGCAGCGAGTTAAGTGAATCTGCAAGAAAGAGGATCAGAGAACCCGGGGTGGCTAACCCGGCGAGGTCATTCCGATGCTTAAGTCAGTAAACTGATGCGAGCTGAAAAGATTTGAGAGCTGAGAGAACTAGAGAGCTAGAGAGTAGAAAAATCACGTGTACCTTGTGTCATTGGGGTTGGTGCCTTTATATAGTTGAGCCCTTGCGGGTTTTGCGGACCAGTTCCGGGATCTTCGTCCTGATGGGATCCGTTTCCGCTTTAATTGGGGAGTGACATTATCAACTAATAAACATTATCAATTCCGCTCGATCCGGGCAGGGAGAGGATAAGATTGCCGTTACGCGGCGTGATCCCGTGAGGTTCGGAGTTTGTTGGAGAGACTTCCGGGATCGTTACGTGATGGCCCAGGTTGGTAGCCCCGAGCTGATACTTCAGTCTTTTTAGTTTCGAACTGGATTGAGTGCCGAGGTGCCTCGATGCCGAGGTGACTATGCGCCGTGGTGACCTTGCACTGAGGTGACCTTGTGTCGAGGTGACCCTTGTGCCGAGATGGCCCTTGTGCTGAGGTGGTTGAATACCCGAACTCAATTGTTACGAACTAATCTGGCTAGGTTGAGCTGTCATCTCTTAGTTAGTTCGTGTCCACATGTCCCCTTTTTGCTAGGTCAGACCAAATCACCCTTATCACTTGTGAATATATCCCATTCCTGCAAGTGATCTTTGTTCCCCAAGAATCTTCTAGAAGGAGTCAAAAAACCCTGCACAACTCCACCAGCTTCCCTTTTTGCTGGAAGATGAAATTGCTGAAGTTGGCATTGGATGTTACTACAAGCGGCCGGCCGGCCAACCTAGTCTTGAACAGCGGTCCATACCTATAGAATACGCACAAGAGAATTAATTAATGAAACAACTAAGTAATTATATATTAATGAAATCACAGCAGAAACAAACAAAGTGATCAGTGCAACATTATACATTAATGGTGGTTAGCTTACTTTTGAAATCGTTTCTTGAAGAAGGGTGGTACATCCAGTGAGTCGGGGTGCATGAAACCATAGGAAGTTCTTAAGAAACAGAACTAAGATAAAAATATTTATTTTAATCATCAAAATTCTCTTAAATAATGAAATCTTGATTTTTTTTTTTTAATTTTGCCTCCCAAATGTATATCTTGATTCTTGAAATTGATAAAATTATACTTTCATTTGACATCTTTTTGAAAGATCTGATGGGCTTTTAGAACCTCAGTAGACCAAAAACGGTCTTTTTCTGTTGGGCTAGTAAAAGTCCCGCTGGACAGGAAGACAAAACTCCAAAAACCATAAAAGCCTAGAGTGGTCTAGATTTGATAAGCAACAAATGAAGCTTATAGTATTTTCGAGCTTGCAAGCTTCCGATGTGTTCGGCAAAAATTCCAAAACGTCGATTGAAACTCCCGGTACTTCTGCGACACAGGTACGTTCTTCTCATTTTTCTTCTTTCTTCTTCTACTAGATGAAACGAGTTGCAGGAGGGAGAAGATGAAGGAAATGGTTCGGAGGTGATTTCTACCCAATCCGTCGCTGCAAGGCAATGGCAAGCACAGGTTGAGGAATGCGTAAATCACTCCGCTCATTCCACAGGCTACAGTCCTCTCACATGCAAAACACAGTCGTCTCTATCCAAACAATCTCAAAAGGCAACCAGTAAATTCAGGGATTTCAAGTGATGTACTCACGCAGTGATCCTTTATCGACGATCTCGGCGATTTGGCCGAACATGATGCATGGGCACCAACAAGTGATGCAACCTGTGAAAATAGAGCACAGCCCATGAAACGACGACAAGTGGAATATGAAGAAGACGAAATGAAAGAAAACAGAGATTGAGAACATACAGTTGGGAACATCGGCACAACAATAGCAGAGACCAGTCGACCATGGTGTCTGGGCTTGGGGTTGAGTTTGGTAGGCAGGTGGGGTACTCAGCGGGACCCGATGACCGGGGGTTGTTGAATGAATTGAGGACCATGTGGTGCGGGTGGTGCCGTGGGCGTCAGAGATGGTGGGAACTGTGGCGGTGCTGAACTTGGTGGTGCTGCGTAACCTGTGTTAGACGAATGCATTTTTCTTTTCCCCGAGAGAGATGGAGTTGCTGACAGCCTGCCATCGTATTGATCTGCTCCTCACAAATGGGCGCCTCACAGAAACATCCTCCGTGTATTGGGAACATCTCCCGAACTAATAAGTACGAGAGATGTTGCGTGTGAGGCGCCAGATGTAAAGAGCAGATCCGATCTCCGTATTTGTATGTTTCTGGTGGGTATTGCTGCTTTTCCTTTTGTTCTGGTAAATTTCGCTGATTTTTCTTTGGACTAGGTAGTCGGGTAGGGATGTCAACATATCGCGTTACTGTGTATTGCTCTAAAGTTTAAACAAATCCTAACCCCATCCGATTAGAATTAGGATGTCAGCAATTGGACAATTGGATACATTTCAAATCCATTTTTATTACAGAAATGGACTGGATTGGATGGGATGGACCATAATCCATTTCAAATTTTCAAATATATGCACATCTAGCCAATCTATTTTTTCTTTAATAAATTCTTTCTTTTCTGTGTAATTTTTTTTCTTGCCAAATTCTATATCTTGGTCCAAGATAGATCATCTTTAGAGAATGATGCATATATGGAAAAAGGGTTTTAATATTTATTATATGTAATTTAATGAAAAAAATATATAATATATATTTATTGTATATAATATAAGTATTTTTTATTATATGTAATAGTGTTGGGTTGGGATCGGGCCCGGGCCCAGCTTGAAAAATAGTTGGACTTGGTATTTAAAGCCCAAGCCTAAGCCTGTGGGCCTAAAATTATGTAAGAGGGACTGGCAAGTATACTTGCCAAATGGTCTTTTGGTCTTTCTAGTTTTTAAGAAGATCTTTCAAAAGAACTGGAACCAAACGGTCTTTGGTTTTCGAAGATCTATCTATGAAAACTCATCAGTCTTTTGAGGTCTTGAACTTTTAGAAGATCTTCCTAAAAAAACTTGTCAAATGCCTCTTTTATAAACATTAAGAGGGTCAGTTTGGAAAGAGTACAAATACAAATAGATACGACACAAATACATACAAAATAATTAATACAAAATATAGGGCTTTACACTCTACTCCTTCCAAACTAACCCTTAAATGCAGTTTTATCATTTCAAAAAATTTCTTTTATGTTATTCTTTTCGGAATCATTTTCCACCTTTCATGAATATTTTTCCCTTCAAAAAGTATAAATAAGTCTAGGTTGTCCACACTGCAATAAAAATGGACCACTAAAATGGACTACAAAAAGCAATAATGTTGTTCCCTTATTATGCACTTAAATTAAATAGTGAAAACTAAAAAGTTGAAATATTCCATTTGTGTTTTCCATGGCTTTCAAAACCAGACCAGACCAGACGGTTGGACCGGAAAACCGAGAGCCGGTTAGGTGATCGATTCTGTTTTTCCAAAAAACCGGATTTTTCTAAAAAATCGTTGATTTTGGTCAACAAACTGCTGACCCGAGCGGTTAACCATTTGAATGATTTTGACCATTTTTTATTTTTATTTATTTATTTGTCATAATGGGCGTTCGACCCAAGAACCGGACCCCTGACTGGTTCGTTCCCCAGGTTGGTTTTAAAAACCTTGGTGTTTTCCTAATACATAATGATGTGGTCGGTGCTCACTAGGTGATCACTAAACTTGCTCATGGGTTGAGCTGGGCTTTGCCTATGTGTCAATAGAATATACTTAGGCTCGAGCCTGAGCTTGGATTGACCATCAGACCTAGGTCTTGAGCCCAAGACCAACCCTCATATAAAGCCCGAAGCCCAGGCCCGAGCCTAAACCCAACTAAAAATTTGAAAATAAATTTTTTTATTCAATAAAAAATGTTTTATTTATGTTAAAAGCCCTATCAACACTCTTGTTAGAATCTCATCGCCACTCTCTTCTAATCATTGTTCCGTTTTATAACCATCATTGTAGTTGTCGTGAATCACTACAACTACATAAGAAGCCCAAACTCATCAACACCTCTTTGTCTTGGCTGATGTAAAGAGCCCATGATCGAGTTGCCTGAAATTAAAAAGGTGCTAGCCCAAAACAAAATTAATATTTAATGCTTGGACATCCCTTGAAGAGTTGCTTCCTATAACTTTGAATTTAGTTTTGCTTTGTAAAACAAAAATAACCATTAGTGCTTGACCATTGGCTGATGTAGAACATTATATTCATTCAATTTTCAGATAAAATAGAGAAGCATTTAAAAAAAAAAACCATAAATAAGAATAGGTCATGGATTTAGAGTTGTCTCAGTCACTTGAACAGATCTTCTTCAACCATATTTGCCAAAACGGGTGTCTATAACATGTATTTACAACAAAAAAAATAAGCACCTTGTACATCCCATCTCACACCAGAAGAGACCTACACTAAGGTTAAACAATGTTGAGTGTTAATTGAAGAGAAAACGCGTAGAATGGAACTCAAGAGAGAAACATACCTAGGTTGACTTTCCTTGCAACTATAATAACAAAATCCTCTGTAACCAAAGTGGGTCAAATGAAAGTGCTTATTTTAATGCATGATCAAGCACAAGGAACGATCTAAGGGAGACTTTATCAAAACAGAAAAGATCAAAAATAGATTTTGACAACAGATGATTGATGTTAGGGTTTTGTGTTTCATGGAACTAAAGAGTCTTGTATGCATGGATTTAGTGAAGGGGAGAACATCTCATTGATTGTTTTAAAAATGACATAAAATAAAAAAATAAAAAATAAAAAAAAAAGAGAATTTCTTGACCGTTTTGTTTTAATATATATATATATATATATATTAAGTAGTGTAAAAGGTAATATTTACAAAATTTAAATTTAATTTATAAGTTTTTAACCATATAATGATAATCAACACATTAAGCTATATCCAATTTAATCAATCAAAATAATATAAGTTTTAAAATATATATTATATTATTAAAAATCAAGTTTTTAAAGAACTTTTTATTTTTTTTTGTAAAAAGAGAGAACAAAAAAAGTACAGGTTCCATGGGTAGACCCTGGAACCGATTCCAAAACCACCAAGGCCAATAACCAACACTGGAAATTGACCTTTAGAGGGTAGATTTTGATTCAAAAAACCTAGAATCGACTTTTAGGGGTCGGTTCCAGATTCTACCATATAACCAAACCAATCCGGCCTATACTCACCCTTAAAACACACAAATATATAGAGATTGTCCGGTGCACATAGATATATAGAGAGAGAAAGAAAAAAAAATGAAAAACATGTAAAAAACCCTAATTGATGGATGCCCGTTGGATACCCACCACCCAACCCGACAACTAGGGTTGACCCACCCGCTATGACCCGGGGTTAAAAAATAGGACCCAACTTGATAATAAATGGGTGGGTTGGGTTGAAAGTTGCCACCGCCATATTTTTAGAAATATAATATAAATAGATTTTGCTCTCTCTCCTTTCGTCCGTGGGTTTTGCTTTGTTTCTTCTTTCTGCATGCACGAGAGTTTCACACCATTGGAAGGTCTCCTTTGTTCGGTGTAAACTGCGTAGGGTTTTGAATTGAACAGACCAGCCGTTCAATTTTTTTTAATTTTTTTGTTAGAACGAGTCGACCATTTGATCCAAACATCCAAACTGTTCGAACCAATAACTGGACCCCTGACTGATTCGGTTTTAAAAACCATAATTTATACTATATTATAAAGCAATTAGGTCAGACTACCAAACCCATAAATAGGTCTAATGATCACTGGTCACAAATTCTAATCTTTCCTTTTTCTGAGCTATTTTGATAGCCATTCCGGGGGCAATGTATTAAGGATTATTATGAAGTGTTTGTCCCATCTCTTAATTTTGACATTAACCTAAAACAAGGTTTTGATATGTATCATACCATATCATACAATTAGGGGTGATCGTTATTAGCTCACCTAGTTCACAAATTTCTGGGCTTGGGCCTAGGTCCTACCCTACACAGGTCTGGCCTAACCTGTAATGTATATTATTATTATATTATAAATATATATTTGTTATATTTTATTTATAAATATAATAATATTATTTTTCATAAAAATATTATAATACTACTAGGATTGCAGACTGCCAACAGATTCCAAAAGTTTGATCGAATCCAATTGACATTCAATGGAGATTCATCATTTAATGACCGCAATTATTCAAAACATAATGATGAAGAAGCATTGGAGTTATGGACTTCGCTGTTTTAGTTGTTAAGCTTGCTTATATGCTAGATGCCTAAATCAGGCAGATACAACATGGTAACGTGTAAGTCGGGCGGGTTGGGTTGGGCTTATAGTCAATTCAGAGATCTGGCCCTAAAATTTGGGCTTAAGGCTTAATGCCGGCTCGAGTCTGAGGTCAAGTCTGATTTTTTTAATTCGAGTCCTGCTCGTCTTATAATATGATGCATTCGGGTTAGGTTTGGGCCCGGGCCGAGTTCTGATTGACCAATGAATCTATTCTAAAATTATACATATATAAATGTATTTATATAAATATATATACACATATTTATGTATGCATGTAAATATATATGCAAAATATCTATACAAATGGTATATATACAAATATGTATGTATATATATGTAAATATATATGCAACATTTATATATATATATGTATGTATATAAATGTATATAATTGGGTCAAATTCGAAAAAATAAAAAAGTCCGACTTCTTGAACCCGAACCCAACTCGAGGACCGAAAATCCAAGCCCAATCCTTGTAAAATTATGAATTAGTATGGTTTGGGCTGGGCCCACCCAAGTTGCACCCCTAGATAATTGTATGGTCTACTTTTTCATTCATTCTTTATTTTTTTTATTGGTTACTATTACTTTAATAACATAGAAAAC